ACATACAATCAAAAAATCCCGATTGCCAGTTAGCCAATTCTGTATTGTATTATGACAGTGTTCTTAAAAGTATCACAAAAAACCGGTTGACAAGTTGGCAATGAATCTAAACATCTATTTTATCGCCTATATAAATAACTTTGTTTTCAATTTTTCACACTTTGTGCAAACAATAATTCAAAACTTTATTATTTATTGCACTTTTATTTGAATAAGTATAACATATAAAAAATGTGGTTAGAATTAGCATTGGACAGGTGGATCGTTGGCTTACTGAGCTGGGTGGTTGGTCGCGACAGTTTCTTATTTTATTGGCTCCATGAGTACTGGGAACAGGGGATCGATCCCCGTACTCGGGGCTATTTTCTGGTGGACATGTCACCCCTCACATTATGTTGTATCCTGGCCATATATATAATTCATGTAAAACTTCTCATACCATATCTCATGAAAAACCGAAAGCCATTTGACTTAAAAAAGATTATCATCGGATACGACGTGTTACTGGTATTTACGAAATATATAAAATTTAAATATAAAATATTAATTGTTATAACTGACCATGGTCAGGTAGCTATTAATGCATATTTTTGGTTTTACTCGTTGGCACACATCACCGATATGTGGGACTTTCGTAACCCTAAAACTGATACCTCAGACAAAGCCATGAAATTCATAAATACGGCTCATTTGTATTACTTGTCAAAATGGTTTGACTTATTGGACACATATTTCATGGCATTAAAGAAAAAGAACTCGCACATTTCTGTTCTCCATGTTTGGCACCACATATCAATACCCGGAGGGGGCTGGCTGTTTATGAAATACAATCCATGTAATTGCCTTCTATAGTTATTATATAAATATAATTATTATTAATTTTATTCAATCTTATTAACTTTAAATCATAAAATGATAATTAATAATGCTACATTATAAAAATTAGTAACTAATTTTGGTAATTAATTATAATTAATTAACATTTAATGTTTAGATATGCCGACTGAATACATGTTCCCTCTATTTAATGGTATGGTTCACGTCATAATGTATGGCTACTATGCATTGGCAGCACTGGGACCTCAATATCACAAATATTTGTGGTGGAAAAAGTACATTACCCGTATACAGCTTGTACAAATGGCTACCGGAATTGTCTGGATGAGTTTGGTGCTTTTTAAGTCGACTGATTTGCCGGTCGGATATATTGCGTGTAATATGGGAAACGCAATTGCCTTGTTCCTATTATTTTTAAACTTTTATATACAGGCTTATAATCTGGGAAATAAACAAATAAAAACTCTATAATTTTATAGTGGCGGTTATTATATTTTAATTATTTATTATGGTTTAATATTGCTTAATATTCAATATTTAACTCTATAATAAAATCATTTATTTTCTTAATTATTAAATTGTTTCATTTTACAAATGTTTGCCTACTAGTGTGATATCCATAACCAGATTATCAAAATTTTATAGACTATGAATTGAATTTTCATTATTCTTAACATGTTTAGTCATTTTCCTGTACCCAAATAAATCTAATAAATGTATATTTATATAAATCTATAACAAACTGTACCAGTAATTAAAAATTAAAATCGTACTAATTACGTGTTAAACATTTTATGTAAAGTTTATGTTATAAACCTAAAAATCAATTTTATAATTTATGAAAGTGAGGGAAAGTCAACTTTATTTAAATAAATATTTACATCAATCTATTTTAAAAACCCAATTTACTTTTATAAATTCTAAAATTATAAAAATTATTAATACTTATAAATTATAATTATTATGAAAATTATAAATTATTCATTTTACGATAATTATTTTAATACAAATTTACGAAATACTGTGTCTTATAATATTATAATTAAGTACTTATATTAGATTACTTGTCATTTTATTATACCTTCATCATTATAAAATTAAAAATAATATTCAATACGCATATGTCTCCTAGCATGGTTTATTAGTTGATTACAGCTAAAAGTAAATATAATTTTTATAAACTTTATTACACAATAAATAATAGAATATTTATTTTAATACAGTATTATACAGTACTATAACATCTTAAGCGCTAATTAATTAGTTATCTTAAGTAATTATTGCTATTATTAGCAACTGTTGAAAGTATTTTAGTACTATTAAAAACTTTACAAAGATTTATTAAGCATCAAGAAAATAATAAACTAATTGAACACACAGGTAATTATATAAATTACTATAATCAAATTAAAGGTATCACAAAAAACCTGTTGACAAGTTGGCAATGAATCTAAACATCTATTTGCAGTGGAAACCTTATTTTATAGTCTATATAAATAACTTTGTTTTCAATTTTTCACACTTTGTGCAACAAATAATTCAAAACTTTATTATTTATTGCACTTTCATTTGAATAAGTATAACATATAAAAAATGTCGTTAGAATTAGCATTGGACAGCTGGATCGTTGGCTTACTGAGCTGGGTGGTTGGTCGCGACAGTTTCTTATTTTATTGGCTCCATGAGTACTGGGAACAGGGGGTCGATCCCCGTACTCGGGGCTATTTTTTGGTGGACTGGTCTAACATCACAATGGGCTCTGTTATGTTCACGTACATATTTCATGTCACAATTCTCATACCATATCTCATGAAAAACCGAAAACCATTTGACTTAAAGAAAATTATCATTGCGTACGACGTGTTACTGGTATATATTTCAAGAACCATATATAGAATTAAATATATAATATGAAAATGATCCTGATTAGGTGGCGATAAACGCCTATTTCTGGTTCTATGCGTTGGGACACATCGCCGATATGTGGGACTTCCGTAACCCTAAGACCGATACCTCAGACAAAGCCATTAAGTTCATGAATACGGCTCATTTGTATTACTTGTCTAAACTGATCGACTTATTGGACACATATTTTATGGCATTAAAGAAAAAGAACTCGCACATTTCAGTTCTCCATGTCTGGCATCACATATCTGTTCCCTGGGCCGGTTATATGTTTATGAAATATAATCCATGTATGTTTATGTGGTTCATTAATTTATAATTTAAAAGTATTTAAGGCATTATCAAAATTGAAATAATTGTATATTTATTTATATTTAGTGATTTCTGTATAAAGTTTGTATGATATAAGTAGGTTTATATAATATCCACGGTACCGTATAATGCATGCAAAATGTTTTGAATTATTGTATACATATAATTTAGTTTTCTGTAGTTACTTCAATTTACCTGTATTTGCAATTATATGGTGTCAAGTTAATTATATAATTTTAATAACTTTTACAGATATGCCGACGGAATACATATTCCCACTATTGAATGGTTTCGTTCACGTTGTAATGTACGGCTACTATGCGTTGGCAGCACTGGGACCTCAGTATCAGAAGTATTTGTGGTGGAAAAGGTACATCACCCAGATGCAATTAGTACAAATGACTATTGGTATCGTTTGGTTTACCCTGGTTTACATTAAGTCCACCGATATACCTGTCGGCTATCTCGCATGCAATTTAGGCAACGCGACAGCCTTGTTCATTTTATTTTTCAATTTTTATATACAAGCTTATAGAAAAGAAAACAAACAAATAAAATCTCAGTAAATATTTTTATCTATTAATTTATCTAAATGATGTATTTGTACATTATACCAATTAATTTAATTAAAAATAAATTTCATAAAAGTTAATTAAACTTATATTATTGATAAACATTTAATTAAAGTTGTTAATATTTACATACATAATAAATGGATAATAACAACTTTATGATGCAAAATTATTTCTATAAATTAAAATATCTATTTGTTTCACCGTTTCATATTTATTTTAAAATATTAAAAATGACTACAAAAACTTATATAAATTACAATTATAATGACAACAATTTAGTACAGATGTACTATTTGTAGGGAAAGCTATGTTATGAAATAAAATAAATAAAATATTAATTATTCCCAAATAAAAGCTTTAACGGTAAAAATGAAGTATGTCATCAAGTTTATTTTTAACCATTTAAAGCATCATTTTATTTGACATGTACGTGAGAACTATACTTATTAAATTTTATTAATTTTATTTTCAGTCAATTGTTTGTTGGTAATTAATAATATTCTGTTTCCTTTAGAATTTTTTTTGTAAATAATTATTCAAATTCTAAGTAAACTGTCTGTAAATACTTATCATATACGGTAAACATCTTGGACATATTGAATATAAAAGACATTCAATAATATAGGATTCATTTATAAAAAACATTAACCACTAGAATATATGGATCTTTCATTAGAAGTAACATTGGACAGTGCGCTTGTAGGCATACTGGGCTGGGTGTTTGGTCGCGATAGCTATATATTCTATTGGCTCCATGAGTACTGGGAACAGGGTGTCGATCCCCGGACTCGGGGCTATTTTTTGGTGGACTGGTCGGCCACCACTATGGGTGCTTTCATGCTTATGTACATATTTCATGTCACAGTTCTCATACCATATCTTATGAAAAACCGAAAGCCATTTGACTTAAAAAAGTTTATCGTTGCGTACGACGTGTTACTGGTATATATTTAATGTTATGACAAACTATTAACTTATATCATTAAATATTAATTATATTTTTTGTTTAACTAATCTATAATAAATTTTAAATTAACCATGGTTAGGTGGTAATTAACGGATATTTCTGGTTCTATGCCCTGACACATATCGCCGATATGTGGGACTTCCGTAACCCTAAGACCGATACCTCAGACAAAGCCATTCAGTTCATAAATACGGCTCATTTGTATTACTTGTCTAAACTGATCGACTTATTGGACACATATTTTATGGCATTAAAGAAAAAGAACTCGCACATTTCAGTTCTCCATGTCTGGCATCACGTATCAGTTCCAGCAGCAGGGTGGATGTATATGAAATATAATCCATGTAATGTATATTTTATAATTTATAACTCTATTATCTTAAAATAATTCAGTATCTTAATACTATAAGTCTTAATTATTAATCAGTAAAATTACCGCTAATATCCTAATGATTTTGTAATTAATCTAAGTCACTTTGCTTTACACTAGTTCATTTTTGAATGGTTTATAATTAATTTTTATACAGATATGCCCACAGAATACATGTTCCCACTATTGAATGGCTTCATTCACGTTGTAATGTACGGCTACTATGCGTTGGCAGCACTGGGACCCCAGTACCAGAAATATTTGTGGTGGAAAAAGTACATCACCCAGATGCAATTGATACAAATGACTATTGCTTTCGTTTGGTTTAATCTTGTCTACTTGAAATCTACTGATATCCCGGCTGGTTATCACGCATCCAATATAGGCAATGCAACGGCCCTGTTCCTATTATTTCTAAATTTCTATATACAAGCTTATAGGAAAGAAAATAAACAAATTAAAACTCAATAAATTTCTTGATAATATCAATATATTACAATATATTGTATATCAATTAAATTTATTATAATTTTCAATGTTTTGTGATGAACAGTATGAGCTTACATATTTATTCATAACAATTTAATAAAATATAAGAAAATATTATTAAATATTTTAATGCAATTTGTCTTTACAATGATTTCTAATACTTTCCACACATTTATCAGATATAATAATTATTTATTGAAAAAATCATCTCAAATGGAAATATTTTTAAAAATAATATGTTTTCTAATACTAATATATCTTTAAAATATTATTTAAAATTTATTAGTTATTAATACCAATTTTTAATAATTTAATAAATATAATTTATTTTTTAAATGCAATTAGCATTCCAGTTAATATTAATAAGTTACTCATTATTTTTAATACAATAACTAAAAGTTAAATTACTTCATAGTTTTCATTGAGAATTGCATTTATAATTTTAAATATTTTTCAATATTTATTTTTTAAATAGCATGTTAATAACATATAATTATAATTTACAACAATTTAAAATTTTAGATAATACAAATTGAGCTTTATAAGTTATTTATTTAAATTATTAAAGCAATAATCGTAAACTTAACCAACAAATAATATTAATTATAATTACATAAAATGTCTTTTATGTCAAGCAATAGGTTAAACTTAAATAACAACATAATTAGCAGGCACAAACTAATCTAATCATACAAAAACGCAAACACATTTTTCTTATACCACATAATTACCGCATGGGTTACATCCTTACAACTATCAATATTATAAGTATACAAAAAGCCCACTGAAATGAAAATGGTCAATATACCCAACGCAAACAGGCACTTTTCAAACAAGCTAGCACTTGGGTTTTCATTAGAGTCGTGTCCCTCCATGTCCTTTAGGCCTAACTTGGGTTTGGATGGCTTTTCGTATTTATTAAACAGCGTGTAACCCAACCAGAAAAATATGGACAATATGTGCGATAC